AGGCCCCAAATGCTCGCCCGTCGTGCTTCCGCAATTTCCCACTGTGACCACCTCGTCAGATGAGACAGATCGGACACATGTGAACCAATAAGCTGCGTTGCTACAGGTTGAGGCGGGGATTGCTACGTATTCTGGGTTGCTCGAAGTAGGTAACCCTGCGCATGCAGTTGACCTATGTCCCTTTTTAAGCTTTGCCGTTTTCATGGGTTTCACGGTGGGAGCCTTAAGCGGGTGCGACCTGCTGGTTTGGCCGTGCACTGCCACAGCTTCTGCGAGAGCTACGGCAGAGTCGGATGCCGACGGATCCATTTGCATGTGAGCATACCAAGGATTTGCCTTATTCACCATTGTTTTGCAGAAGAAGGAGAGGCTCCTTCCAAGAGTGTGTGTACGTTTCTCCGGGTGCGTTGCATGGGCCCCTAGCGGTAAAGTGAAACCCCCTGAACACCTGTGAGTATCTCACCCGCGATGGATCCAGGGGGTTGATGCATTTCCTCTTCGACGCACGGCACTGGCGGATGCCTTGCTTCTCAGGTTTCAAGTTGACACACAATCTCGGCATTTTGCCGCTTGCCGAGCCCGATTCGTGGACCGTTGATCCGGAATCTTGAGCTAGAGTTCACAAATCTCCTGGTTGATTTAAAACAGGGCGTTGTTCATTTTGGGGATCTGTCACTTTCTGGGAGAACGTTTTTCTGTGAATCTGCCTGGCTGGTTGGCCATGGCTTTTCGTCCTCCGTTTCGCAGGCGCAGATTGCCAAGACGATGCGCGAGGCGAGGGAAAAGCCCCTTGGCGTTTTGAAAACGGCAGAGCGGCACGACAGCCGCATTTGGAGGTTTGGATGTCTCAGGAGTGAGCAACCCAAACCGAATCGACCAGATGTGAACGTTTGGATTGACATGGCCCATGTTGATTGGCCGCAAGCATTGGGTGCTTGTCGCTGTGGCAAGCAAGCAACTTGTTGGTCTACTATTGTTTTTCTTGATGTGAAGATACACAGAATACAGGAACCAGTGAACATCCATGTTTAGGGTGGACGTCAAAAGCAGCTACCATTTGGATATGTCAATGTGAGCATATGGGATGCTAGAGACAGCCATATGAGAGGTTGGCATTCGTCCAGTGGCCCGTTGTGCAAATGATTTGCGCCCGTTTTGGCTGGCCACCCAGAAGATTTGGTTGAACATTTGCACTCATCAAAGTGCGTTCAAACAGGGGGGACAAAAACAAGCTCGTGATCAACGTAGCATACGAGCAGGACGGTGCCAACATATCACGTGCATGCGTGTGCGTGTGTGTGTGTGTGCCAAAACAAGCTGTCCAGACCCCCTCCCAATGGAGAGGTTTGGTGTTGGCTTTTTCGACATGTTAAAAATTAAAAGGCCCTTTGTTTTTTTGCGCGAGACAAGTACCACAGATGCGCTCTGACCATTCTTTACCCCCTTCTTGGGTCATGCTTGGGGGTGATCGGTTTTGGAAAGAAAGTTGGACTTTGGCTTGACACGCGGAGCGTGTCTTGATTTGAGGGCACCCTTGGGTCGGTTTACAGCGACACCAAAAGGTCCCTTGCCATGTTGGAGGTTTTATTTTTTTTTGAGACAAACCTGATATGTCAGCATGGTTGGAACAGCAATTGAAACGTGTTGGTGGTTGTATGAATCCTATACTTAGACTTGAACAAGTGTTGGTGGTCAATTATACATCCAAGCATGTGTGTTCTCTCCCAATCTCCACAGGGCCCATTCCGGTCCAGCTTAAATAATATCATTCATACATCCCAAATGGTTGCATACGCCAACCATGCAGTTTGATGTCCACCAAAGGGTTCCAACAAACCAAAGGGTCCCCCCACAGGCCACCGAGAAATACAAGGGGCAGAGGTGCGTTTTGCCAAGGGATGTTAGGACTTTAACGTTTTGCCAACTAATGGGTTTTCCCTCCAACCAGTAAAGGTTAGACTGGTTAGACGTTTAGGGGAGCAGCAAGCAACCGGGTAAGGTTCCTCGACATGGGTGTGAACTTTTAGGGGAGCAGAAAGCAACCGAGTTGATCTGAAGTCCACCAACTTCGATCGCCTTAGTCCCGCTTCGATCGCTTCGCAGCTCGAGGTTCCGAGAGGTGCAGCCGGGGTCTCCCACGCAAGGCACGCCTCCCGCACAAAGTTCGTCAGCCCGGTCAGACTCCGACTCCATAATGCGTGTATACTGTGTAAATACACATACAATGGGATACCATCTGTGAACCCCGCACATATAAGAACACACACACACAGACACACCGCACGCACGCACGCATGCACGCACGCACGCACCCGCACGCACCCGCACGCACCCGCACGCACCCGCACGCACCCGCACGCACCCGCACGCACCCGCACGCACCTGCACGCACGCACAAACCATGCCACACCCCAAAACAAGAAGCATAGGCGGTTTTCACTTTGTTTCCCTTTCACAACAGTTTAGCAACCCAAAGAAGGGTAGCCTCAAAAGCAACATAGTCCCACGTATGGGTATATGGCCTATAGCCCAGATGGAGAGAGGTTGTAAATTGGGGTCGAGGACGAGCCGAGGAAAACATGCAGGCGTCATCTTGCAAAGCTTGAGCCAGACCTGACAGTCTGAATGTACTTAGCTGGAACCACAGGAAAAGCGACTGGGCACGTGTTTTTTGCATAGCCCTCGCCCCGAAGGACACAAACGGAGTCATGCTCCGATTTGTTTTAGCGAAAGCCGCATCGGCCAACGCCAAACAGCTCGCTCCAGTGGCTTCTTTTGGAAGGACGTGCTGTTTGATGATTGGTTCGTGAAAGGAATCCCGGCGAAGGAGACCAACAAAGGGCAAACAAAAACACAAAGACGCTAATTGAGCCTGGTAGTCCAAATATAAAAGAATTCACCAACCCAAAGTAAGCAATAAACCTCTGTGAAGGAACCTTCATGGGTAAACCTAAGTCCCTTGGGTGAGTTGCAGAAAAACTGTTTGCCCAGATGAGCAGTGAACTTGCATTTGCTCTGCAGCATCCAGGAAACCCTAAATCCACTCTGCTAGAAAAGTGCACAGATCCTTGCCACCCCATTGTTCGCCATGCTTCATTTCCTGTTTTTTCAGGTGAGTTGGCTTGGTGGATTGGATTGATGGTTTGGGAATTTCACCCCCCGCCCTAGCCACATGGGGAAGGTGCCCTCTGAAAGTCCAAGCCAAACCAAACGAAACCAACTAGTGAGAGAGGAGCTGAAGCAACAAGTTGACTTTTTGCGGGTCGGATGGTCAGATGTGGGCCAACTCACGATCGGCTCGAACCGCGAGGTTGTGACTGGGGCATGGTGCTTATCGTGGGCATCGGCTCACTCATCGCGCCGGGACCCTCCCAGTCGCTGTCGGTTTTGGGGCCGGTTGAACGGGTATGTGTCAAAATGTGTCAAAATAGGTTCGACCCCAAAAATGGCATTCATTTGATTTCCTTTTTCTACCAACCTTCTGTACCGAGCCTCGAAGCACACCGGCTTCCTTTCGGAACAGTCACGATGAACTCGTGGCGTCCGCGGTCGCGAGGAGCTGGGGTTCAGCGTTGTTCAGCTCAACCGCAAAGAGCACAAACACGTTGTGGAGGGGACGCCTCCCTGTCCACCAAAGCCAAAAGCCAAGACCTGAGCGGTTCAACAGCAATCCCCAAAATCCGTTTGCCAGATGGTGGAGGTTGGCCTTGTTGTGGCGGCGTCCGCTATGCATTACGGATTGGGATTTGGGATCCCTCATCTTTTAATGAGTTGTTGCGCGGAGTTCTGGCAAGCAATGTCACGCTTGCATGGAATCTGGTTTGTGTGTGTGTGTGTGTTGTTTCAACAATTTTTAATTTTAAGCCCACAGTTCCTGGCAAAACAACAAGAACAACAACAACTAGGCCAATCACATGATGGCAACTTTGGATTAGTTTCCAAAGGAGCGTACTAAACAGACTTGGTTACCCGTTTAATCATAGTGAGAGGATTGAGGATGGAGCCATTTGCGCGGGATAATTTTCTGGTATGGACCCCCCTTTGAAGCCTTCCAAATATGGGCACTTGTCCTGAAAAGTCCCGGTTGTTCACTGGCACCCAATCCCTTTCTGTTGGAAAGTTCGAGACCCACTAACCATGAACCCCCAGAACGGGCTCCGGCAAGTTTTTTTCCACCTTTCCGGCGACACACTTGTGGGCCAACGCTGAGGTTCTGGGTGGCGGTCCGCTGATGGGCGCGAGGAAAAAGTCGAGGAATTGGATGGGAGATGCGGTCGAGAGGCGGCCGAGAGGCGGGCGGAAATACAATGTGTTTTGCTAGGTCCCAGTAGTGCCCTTTCTCACCCCTCTTTTGGGGGAGGGTTCCCCTACTAAAATAGACTACAGAAAGAAGGGTACCCTTATTCTAGCCTCCCGAGTTGCGCAGGGATGTTTGATTAGCAATATTAGGCCCTGCTTCGGTGTGGTCTCGGGCAGGGAAGATCAACCGATCTGTTGGATTTCTGAAGTTCTGGCAATGCTCAGGGATTGAGCGCCCCTGCCGGTGGGGCAAAATAAACCATGGATGGAAGTATAGGGTGGAGCCTGCCAAAAGTTTAGAATACTCGCATCACCCAAGAAGGCTTTTGAGGTGGAGTAACAAAGACAGAGAGTCCGAAGATGGTTCCCATTACCCCAAATTCAGCCACTACTGTATGAAAGGTACATAGTCCTTTTTTTTCTCGTGGGGGATAGTTACCCTCAAAGTGTTATCAGCGGCGTTCAGGAGACAAACAGCCACTAAATAGCCAGGCGGGTAGGGGTTGCGGCGTAGCAGAAGCCGGCGTAGGATCATTCCAACCAGAAAGGGCATGTTCGGGAATCCCAAAGGAACATGGTGTCCAAATCTGTTCACCTTTCAAAGGCAATCCCGAAGGAAAATGCATGATGTCCAAATCCCTATTTGGACAGCTCTTTTCGGGAACAGCAAGCTTATGATCTCGCGTCCCGAAACGACCGAGGCCAGTGCCACTGGTACGTGGGGGAGGCGCATCATGCGTCTCCGCTCTTTACGGCACGGCAGGGGCACGGAGCCCCGGATGGCCATATACCAGCGCTTCGCGGGGAAGCGAAGCATGCATTGAGCTATTCTGTTGAAAAAACAAGCATACCTGGCGATTCGTTGCGGCATAAATTTCTGCCGCAATTCAAAAAAAGCGCCTTCTTGGATTTGCGGCATTTCTTCCTGATTTGCGTTTTTTTTTTTTTTTTTTTTTTTTAATGAGTTGCGGCGGAACTTGTTTTTTCAGATCCGCTCGCCTCAGCTAACAGGAAACTAAATTGCACGACTTCGCACTTGTGATATTTGGCTCAAATCAGGTTCCGTGAGCCTTTGTGCGTGAGGTTCGCCTAGGAAGATGAGGTGAAACCTGCAAAGCTGGACCGGTATGCAATTTCCTCAAAGGGGTCCCGCTGCTCCTTGGTTCAAGGAGCTGTTGATTCCGCAAAATTCCGCAAAAGGAGTGCAATAAGCTGCTCAGCCGAAATCGTCCTAAATCGACGAAATCAACCCTTTACAGCCTGTGGTGTTTTTCCGCTATTTGCGGCGGACATCGGCGGGAATGCGGCGGAAATTCCCGCGGAGAGAAAAAGTTGTCCCTGATCGTTGTTTCAGCAGGTTTGTGGGGCAGAGAAAGCTCTCCTCGGCTTGCATCCGCAAAGTTTGGGGTCAACGAGTGGCAGAGACTGAAAAGATCATCATCAAATCGACTCGTTTTGGCCCCTAGATGCTTTGACGATCTTTCACAAATTGAAAGATCAGTGTAGCAAGCTGTCCTCCATGATAATATGCTTTCTTTGCAACATTGTTCGGAAAATGGAGCTATAGAAAGAAGCGGCGTGTGCTCAGCATGTTTGCTTGCTGGGTGACACATGGGAACTTGGGGTTATGCTCAGCCAACCCGGACTTCTGGAAGCAGCGTTGCGGCGTTTTTGTTTCAGTTGCGGCGTTTTTTTGGCGGCTGATTTTCTGGAAAGCGGCTGGAATTCTTGCCGCAATGCATTGCGCCAGAAATTTTATGTAGGTATTATCGGGTAGGTTTGTACAAAGACATTCCTTTGGTGCATGTAGCTTGGATGTTAGGACTTTAACTTTTTGCCAACTAATGGGTTTCCATTAGACCACGAAAAGTTAAACTTTTAGCAGGGGAGCAGAAAGCAACCGAGATTCTTTGGTTGTTCAAACACGATGTAGATCCTCATGTGCTTTGCTTGCTTTACATGCCTGGGCGCCCTTTGTTTGGACCTCGAGAAAGGACAACGGCATGGTTGGCAGAGGCGCATCCACATAGAGGCTTGAAGAGCGAGAGGCAGTGACGCAACTAAGCGCTGAATGAACCAGGCATCGGGGGATACCACAAACGTCACTTCTGCATCTTCTGCGAGAAACCGCCCCGTCTGATTTGTGTTTTCCAGTTTCTGCTGGACCTCCTTGAGCGCGCGTCGTGTTTGTTATGCGCGAGTTCCCTTGGCGCGGAGGGATCTGGGAATGATTTGAAATCTGGACGTAGGCTTAGGCACCCTCCTCCCTGTTCTTTTCCAACGCTTCTCGAAGCTGCCAAACAGTGGCACCCGGGGGGAAATAGACGCAGACACGCCGAAGTAAGGCGCAAAAAGCTAGCATGGCTTGCTGGTGTTGACTTAGAAAGTATTGGATCCGGAAAAGGGTGTGCAAACCTTTTCTTCTTCATCGCGGGGCTTTCTCCCAGAGCAGCTTGTTTGCCCTGTGCGACAAAAGGGTGGTGTGACGGTTGACGTCAGCACGAGATGTCCACCCTTTGCCTACAATCCATAAAACTTGTTGGATAATCTTAACCCTTGATCCACGATGAAACCTCAATGCAAGTTGATAGTCCCTACGGGCGGTCCTCGCAAGCCCTCCAATCGGCTTCCTGTTGCAAATTGCGTTCTTCCAGACATCGTTGCGTATGTCTTCGATGCGCATGCCTCGTTGTGTTCCATTTGCAGCTTGCGCACGCTAAGATGCACATGGACGTGGGATTGTCGGCCGGCATGGGATATGTTTCTGAACCAAATTACCCTTTTCAGTGTTTTTGTCGCAGTGAGGGCCCATAAGACAAACCCATCTTGAAAGGTTTCTCGCAAGGCAATCGCCACACAGGCATGGCGCAGATTGTAAGCCGGTCGCTTGACCGCGCAGATCTGGACGAAAAGGGAACGTTGGCAACAAACACCCAGCGGAAACAAAAAGTCAACTGGTCCTAAATCCGCGGAGAAATCAGGCAGGTGAGAAATGAGACAGGCGGCCCCATTTCGGTTGATCGCCAGATTTCCCCTTTTTTTTTCTTGATCCAGTGTCCTTCCTCCCTTGGCCGAACACCCCAATCAGGATTCCAGCAATGTTCTAGGGGTAACTTCCCCATTCTTTCCAGGGATCCTTCTTTCTAGAAAACCACCAAAAACCCTGGGGAAACGGATCCGGTTTTTGAAAAGAACGATGGCTGAAAAGAATGGAATTGGAAGCACCCCTTCGAGAAATGTCCGATCCCATCGCTTCTCGGATCGAGGCAAAGCATCCGCCTGGACTTTTGCACCTTTGTAGTGGCCGACACCGAGGCTTCGGCGGGAATGGTCGACGGATGTGAGTAGGGCCTGGTGGATTTGTGCGGGGTTCCCCAAAGCTGAAGAATTCTCCAAGTAAACAAGCCCCTAAGCCGGCTTGAGCGGGCGGCATGAAGGAGTGACTCGGAGGTTGGATTCTGATCAGTCAACTTCGCAAACGCGCATCATCTTCCATTTGCTTTTGACTATATGTTGTTGTTTTCACTTGTTGGTTTTAAAGGGAATCTATCACTGCTGTTCTTTTTTCTTTTTTTTCTTTTTTTTCGGGGGCTTAAGCAAATGGAAGCAAATTGCACACATTTCCTTGGTCATTAGCTTTGTGCATGAACTTATTCGCTGAGCACAGCTGCGTGGTCTAGATTCGTGGGACCAGTCTCAGAGAGTGGATGGTGTTCAGATGAAGCCAAGGAGCAACGACAATTGAATGGGGCGCCCTGGATTTCCTCGACATGTGAGCAAATGACAATATTGCAACTAGTTTGCTGGGGTTTGGGTGCCAAGTCAGGCTTGCCGCTGCTGGTGGTCAGCTCACTTTGGTCATCTAGTATCATCACCCAAGCCCGAGGGAACCAACAAATGTTCGCATGCCAGCGGCAAAAACGCCACGAGATGAGCCTTCACAAGCCGCATGCAAGAACAAAGGGCGAATCACAAGATTCTAGGGGTACCTCCCATTTCCATTCTTTCCAGGGATCCTTCTTTTCAGGAAACCCTCAAAAGCCCAAGTGGAAGCGGATCCGGGTTTTTTTCAAAAGCATGGTTGGAAAGAATGGAATTGGCTAAGCTTTGGTGCATTTTGCCAAGGGATGTTGGGACTTCAACTTTTTGCCAAATGTCTGTGGCTCAATAACATGTACCAAAATGGCACCTTGGTAAATGGAACCAAAGACTACAACCAACGCGTAACCATGGCTCTTGTTGCCAAATGGGTGTGGCTCCAAATTAAACCGCAGGGGTTACGCAGGTTTTGGTCCATTTTGCCACTTACCAGGGTTCCATTTTGGTACCGGTTTTTTGAGCCACAGCCAAATGGATTTTCCATTGAACCGCTAAAAGTTAAACAGCGAACCCCTCGAAAGACGACCGTTGGACCCCAGGCCTCCGAAGAGGTGAAGCTCACCATCGCCACGGCCCAGCAGCCCAGAGGGGCGCAACCAAAAAAATGGGGTGTGGTGGTCAAAACCGGGATCCCACTTTGGTTGGTAGGTGAATTCACAACCCAATTTTTATGAACCTATAAAACCAATGGTACCACTTTGGGGGATTGGTGAATTCACCACCCAATTTTTATGAACCTATTTTAGTGGTTGGATTGAATCGGACGTTCACTGGCACGATAGGATGCCTTCAGCCGAGTTTCTCAATGCGGTGGGCTAAGCTTGGCAGAGGCCTACAACAAATTCGGACTTGAGGTCTCCCATATTTTTCCACGAACTTACTTTGGGTTGGGTGATCTTGAAAGGGGCGCCTGGTTACCGTATCGGTCCGTTGATACCTTGCGCGGCATTGAAGTGCATCCTCAAGTAGGGTTTCTGCGATTCTAGGTTCCTGTTTGTCGTTAAATTTTGTTGGTGTTGGCACAAAGAGCATGAATGGTCGTAACTGTTTGGTAAAGCTTAGAGAACGGGCAAACGGATTGAGCCAAATGAACGAGGCGCAGTGAAAGTATATGCGTGGCTTCCGCCACGACTATTATTTACGGTAGAGCGGAATTGACCTTGCCAACTGCCACACCGTTTTTTCTCAGTCGGATGGCCCCTTGCGCCGCTCAGGAGGAGGGCGAGCACCTCGCGCAGCCCTCAGCTTGTGGCCCACGGCCTGATGTCCGGCGCAATTCCTTGATGTAATCATGTCTTTTTTGAGGGCCCCACCGCAAAAAAAAGGAAGCGGTTCCTGTTGGTTACCCGTTGAAACCACAAAGAAGGTGAACTGTCAGAGAAAAAAAACACACACAAAAAAGCAAGCGATGGTGTTCCAGGTGCGTGTTGATTTGGTTTGCTCCTCAGCGTGGACCGGCCACAGGATGTGCTGTTGTTTTGCTGGCCCTTTCAGTGGCGACCGGTTGCAAAGCCTCGGTGATCCGAATGGTTTCATATTGAAACGTTGGACAGGTGGAAACACACCTAAGGTGAGTCAGTCGTGCGAGGCCGAGCATCGTATTGTTCCCATCGCGGACACCCTTTGGTTTCCGTTGAATCTCCTCCCGTAAGCAAATCTTCGAGTTTCGAGGGTCCCCATCTTGTGCCCAAAACCTGGTCAGTCCGTTTTGGATATTGAAATGAGGGAATCACCTACAAAAAAGCCTGGGGGAAAATTACCTCAATCTGAAAATGGAGACACATGTGTTCGCTTTCATCGAAATCTGAAAAGTGGGCCGTCCTTGGAGGCAAAGCATTTCCGGTTTGCATCTCTGAACAGTTGCACGACTGACGAGCCCTGGGGAAACTCGAGTCCGGGCATCCGTATATATCGCACGCTTAGTTGTACCGCTGCAAAAGGGGTGCCAAAATACGAGCACCAGCAGAAAAGGATCCAAATGTCCATACACCAAGAATGTTCACCGTCGTACACGTCCTTTTGGGGTGGTTCAGGCACTGGTTGGCACGTCACCTTGGAGCTTGAACCGTCGATTCTCGGGACCAGGGCCTGGAATCCTTGCATGCTCCAGCATGCACGATACTTTAGCAAGCTTGGATTTTCTTAGGCGCCCATAGGAGTCCATAGCCCGTTTCTTTTGTTTTAAGTCACTACATTCTCCACCGCGGTTGTGGTGCAGCTGACACCCGTGTCACAACTTGGCTGCTATTTGGCTCTCGAACCTACTGGTTGCCTGTAACTGGGATCGAACACGACCTCGTTTCAGCCATTTTCACCCCCAATCCGAGACAGACGCCCAGGTTTTCTACACTCTCCCAAAATGCCAACTTCAAAAATGAAGCCAAGGACATTCCCCCAACAGATCCGACCATCTCCTTCCCCAGGTCCCGGTCCGATCGAGCGTCTCAGGCGGTGCACTTTGGGCAACTGGCAGAGCTGGGCAGCAGCCAGCAGTTCGCCAGGCGGAAGCTTTTGATGTTCGAAGCCTTTGGGAAGCGGTTAAAAAGCGGTGAAGGGGTGGACACCTTTGGGTTTCAGTGGGTTTAGGGAGGTGGATTTGGGTTGACCTAGGTGGGTTTGGGTCGATTTGGGTCGGTGGGTTTGGGTTGGATTTGGGTGGACCTAGGTGGGTTTGGGTCGACTTGGGTTAGGGTGCTTCAGGCTTGGTTTCGGTTGGATACGGTGGTTTCGGTGGGCCTTTGTTTTGCTTTGCGGGATTTTTCCTGCGGGTTTTTGGTTTTCCTTGTGTCCAGTTTGGGAGACATAAAATCACTTGCCCAGTCACAAAGGGATTCCGTCACTTGTGGGGGACACCTTTGGGATTGGAAAATGCGATTCCTCGCGTCAGTGGAAGGGATGTTCCGATGGAGCAAGGGCCAAGACCACCCCAGGTTTACTGGCGTTTGTGAGAGCCCCTTTAAACCTCGAGAGTTGCCCTGGGGGAAGGGGGGGTCAAACCGTGCAGGGTGTCAATCACGTAGACATAGCTTTTCCAGCCCAGATGTTGCCATTAATCTCTGCACCCCCCGCCCCTCTGCACTCTTTTGGCACTAAAACACCCCATTCGCGTCACAAGAACAAGTTCCAACAGGCCGACAAGGCACATCAGTGAGGGGCTGCTCCCCAAACACATCTTATTGAGGCCTTTCTGCAAACCTGTTGGGGGCCCAACCAGATTCGCCTCTTTGGTGTGAGAAAGATGACCGCGCCAACAAATCTCCCAACCAATCCCACCCGAAGATAGCCAAGCAACATACTAACAAGATTCTATTCCGAATCTTCAACCCCAGTCATCTCAAGTGTTTGATGCGAGATTACCCAGCACAAATATGACGGGGTCTGAACAGAAAAGGATTATTTCATTTTTTTTGGAACTCTCAATCGGTTATGGCAGGGAAGCAGTTCCTCTCCATATCCTTGCACTCTTATCGAGAGCTTGCCGATCTGGCGCCCACAGCGAGCGCATGAAGGTCCTTAGGAGGTCATTTGAGGTTGACATTTGGAATTGCAGGACGTGCTTGCAGAGTTTCTGAACAGGTCGTGGAAATCACGTTAATACCACTCTTGCTGGTTGCTTTGATGCATTGGTTGCTTCAGGTTCATTGCACGGTCTGACCTATGGTTTCTGTCGGCCAGTGTGCAACGTTTGGGAAGCTCATCCCGTGTGACGATGCCCTTGGACCGAAATTGGGCCCAACAAGAAGCCGAACAACTTCAATCATTGCAGTATTGTCGTATGTATAGAGTTGATTGGTCAAGTTACAGGTCAGGTGATACTTGAGGTTCCCAACCTCGCACTGCGTTCCAAATTCAGGAGAGCCCCGTTTGGATGACGTTCAAGTGAGAAGTTGCCGGCTAATTAGGCAAGCCATGTTTCGCTGACCCTGGTCCCTTGAAACCAACCCATGGCGAATGGCCCAGTTGAAACCTCTGATGCTTTGAGCCCCTCTTGGCTTCGGAGTTCCGAGTTCCGCGAGGCGTGTGCTGCAGCTTAGAAACGTGCAGGGCACGGCGCGGCGCCGAGTCGTGACACGATGGGAGTGGCGCGAATCTGGAGGGTACCCCTTGTGGGAATGGTTTAACCGTATCAACTTGGGGATGTGCTTTTGCTTTGGATTTCTCTTTAAGCAAGGCACACGATGTAGCCTCAACATGCCTCGACCGTTCACGCCATATGTTTGTTTTGTATCTCTCGTTTGCCTGAAAGTGGGCCATCGTTTCACTGACATTGTGCCTTTCTGCATAGGTTGGTGTTCCCCGATATTTGCTGGTGTTGTTTCCCCTAAAAGGCTGTCTTATTCCGGACATGGGTTGTCTGAGTTCTGATGTATAGATTGTGTTCCCCTCTAACACAGACCAGGGTTTTTTTTTCCTTGACAATGGAGCTTGTCGGTCGTTGTGCAGTTGGTCTTTGCCCGATACGATACGGTTGGTTTGCAAGCTCTCTATGCAAATCTTTGACTGCCCATTGAGATGGACCCTTGGCAGTCAAGAAAGCAAGAAAATTACATCCCATCCTTCAAACATGTACATCAGGGGTAGTTGGAGGATAGAGGGTCCATTTACAAGAGCTCATTTGACCTTTCTCGGAGGCTGTTCTTTCCTTCCCCGGCTAACAGAGATGGATCTTCGCCCTCGTAGGCTCCGGGGTGCTCCGGCGCGGCGGTTCCGAGTTGGCTAGGGATGCATTTGCAAGGAAGCTTCTTTAGGACCCTTCAAACATGGGGCCACCCCGTCTTTTTGGATACCATCAAGGGGGTATATCTAAGCTGTGGCTCAAAATTAAAGAGCTAGGGTTGCGCAGGTTGTTGTCTTTGGTTTCATTTACCAAGGCGCCATTGGGGCTTTCAATGGAAGCCCCGTCCCCTCCATTGGACACTTTAGAGGTGTTTGGGGGTCTCACAGCCTGGCTGTTTGAGGGCCCTAAATGAATCGGGAGCATCTGGGTACCGGTTTCAGGTGGCCACTGCCATCCTCTTCTGTGCCCTGCAGCAGCGGTGGACGGCGCCCTGCGCTTCGCTTGAGGCTTGAGCTTTCGGATGGACACGAAGCGTCCGTCTATGTTGCCTAGGTCCCCCAGTGGTGACCTTTGAACCTTTTTTGGGGGGGAGGGTTCCCCTACTAAAATAGACTACAGAAAAAAATCGGGTACCCTTATTCTAACCTCTCTGCTGGACCTAGTTGCAGCCAGCTTGATTTGGCAGTGGGTCAAAAATGGGGGGGGGCACCCCAAGTTTGTCCTGACCATAAGCCATCTTGATCAGCATCCTTAGCCCATTCCTTGTCTGTGGTTAGGCAATCGGGCTTCCAATTCTTGCCATTGGCCGCGCTGGGCCTTCCAGTATGGGTTCACCTTGGATCTTGGTCAACCGGCAGAAAGAGTCGTGATCCAACACCCTCGCTGAGAGCCAAGTGGCTGTCCCAAGCGATGTTTTTCAGGCAATGAACCAAGAAAAACTCAGGTAAAGCCTGGCAAAGCTCCTGGTGGCCTCTGTAAGAACTAACGGAAGGCCATTTGGAACACACGGCCCAAGGGGCCTCAGGCAGCGGAGACGAAAGATCTGAGCGCCAGCTGGATCAAATTGCCCAGGAAATTTGTGCCTCTAGTTTTCACAGGATTTTTCCCATAGCTAGTCGCTGGATCTGCCTGCTCCTGAGTCTCGTCTCTTCAGGTACCGGGGCAACCGACGCGCCAGTCAGGAGAGACCGTCACCGCGAGCCTGCCATGTTTGCGGCGTTTTCATTCGGCCAGTCATGGCCAGTCACCTCTAAACCCGCGGATTCGGGTGATTCCCTTGTAAAACAATGATGGTTGGATGTATCTTTCCGGGAACCCCAGCCTTGCCGCTTTGTTTTTTTTTGGCGACTAAGGGCAGCATAGAAGCTTGTGTGGCGGCGGCAACTTGCGGGTTCCGGTACTTGAAACTTGGCCAATTTGTCAGGGCACTAGGGCGGCGCAGTCCCGTAGGACCTTAGGAAGTATTTTGGGGCCGGCCAGGTGCTTTTGTGCGGAGCAAAGAGCATTCACAAAGGGGTATTCACCGATCTGTTTGAGACCCCTTTTTGTTCATCATGACTGATTTTGAGCCAAGTGCGGAGGCTGATCCTCAGGACCCGTCCAGCTTCCATACCTCTCTTGGCAAGTGCTTGTCCATCGCTTTTTTTGGTGCACATTGGCTGCATTCGGATCTATTTGCATCTGCAGACAAGTCCTTACCGGGAGCATACCCATTCCTGACTCCACTGTGGCTTACAAGTCCCTTGCTTAGACAGGGGCGGCTAGTTGCCTTCTTGCAGAAATAAGGTTGACCCCGGATGAATAAGCCCCTGCTTATTAATATGGGGGTGTTCGCCTCCAAAAATGATAAATCCCCCCTAAAACCAGGGACACCCCCATATTAATAAGCAGGGGTTTATTAATCTGGGGTCAACATTACTGAGCAACTGCTGCCTTGGTGCTTTGAGAATGAAGCTACCCGTGCCATGAAACTAGCGGTTTGAAGACTGCCCAAAATCTGAGTCGACCTGTTCACCCTTGTTTCAACCGGTTCCAATGCCGCCAGAATCCACCGGGTGAGCAAGGGAAACCAACGTGGGGAAAATCCCAGTGTCTGTCGCGCTGGCAGTTGGTGTGTGGCTTACTCCAGTATTCAGGTTTCCTGGGGTAGACTTAGGATACATGTTACATTGTACCAGTGACTCAAAGTGAAGCAAACTATAAAATATACATTCAATTGGGTCTAACTCTAATCAGGTTTCATCCATCCGAAGTGCGGAGTTAGGACCTGGAAGTTAGCTTTGGTTTGCCTGGACGGTTCCGATGTTTCCGATTGTCAGGTTGGCCCGGAGGACGCGCAGGCCGCCTTTGCGCGACCGCCCGGAATTAATGCCGATCATCGGCCGTGTCTCACAAGCAGGAATTTGGACCCGTCAGTGGGCGAATCTGTGGGTAACTTTGGGGCATTTTGCTTGGATGTTAGGACTTTAACGTTTTGCCAACTAATGGGTTTTCCCTCAAACCAGTAAAGGTTAGACTGGTTAGACGTTTAGCAGGGGAGCAGCAAGCAACCGGGTAAGGTTCCTGTTCGACATGGGTGTCAGGCTCTTTTCTGGGGGCTAAAGAAGAAAGCGGGAGCTAATAAGGCCACTGTGCTTTGGCCACAGCCCCAAGTCAAGCTCCGATTCCATTGCCAAGCCTTTGTTCCAAAAGCCACCGTTCACACAGGATATTACATGTACATATGATATATGTGTGTTCCAGGGGGCCCCAAAGTACTGTTCCTTGTGGTTTCCCGTTAAGCCATCCCAAAATTGTACCCTCAAACAAAAGACACACCCACGCATATTTGGATTTGTGTGTCTTTCGCCTTGCGATAGGCGAACGGAACCGAGAGAGCCCTGTCATCGCTGGCTGGCCTGTGCAAGTTCTCCGGTGTTGATTGGCTTTGGCAGTTTGCTCTTCGGAAGTCCCATCAAACGATGCATCGATTCATTATGCCATGTGACGCAGCCTTTCAACTTGCCCAACTCTGCCAGAGAAAAGGAACACATGTCGAAATTCGCACGCCTCAGTGCTCTGGTGTGTGGTCATGTTAGAGCGGGCAGTGTCACGAAATGATACAGCAGAAACTCGAATGGCGACACTGCATTCTGTGCTGTTAACACCAACGCAGAAAGTCCATTCTGGCCAAATTACGTTGAGCGTACCAATCGGGCTAACACGAGAGATCCTCTTTCAGCTTTGCGTCCTTTTGCCCAGATGCATGTTTTTCCACCCTTGATGTGTCGTTCTTATGGGTTCTCAAAAGCTGTCGTTTCTGACGCTAAAGGGAACACCTGGAGAGGCAAGACCCGTGATACTCGGATCTACTTGAGGTGCTGCAGCACATCTTCCCCGAGGACAAGAAGGATGAGGCTACCCGGCGGTTTCGGGGCCGCTGCTTTAACTCAAACCTCCCATCGTCGTGTTGTGTTTGTTTCTTTCTCGGCACGGTTTCCGAGTTCCTCTTCCAAACCAACCACTCCCAAGCAGTGCACTTGTTTTCTTACAGCCACTTTTGTCCGGGAGACTCATTGTGCAACAGCTTGAAACGCCACTAAGATGCCCTGAGGGAAGCCAACCGGATGTGGAAAGCTGAAAAAGAGGTTGAACATTGTAGCAAGGGCTGGCCCAAACCTGACGGGCGCTGAGCCAAAATCAAGCGGTTAAACCTTCAAGGGATGGTGTGTTCCCCTGAAGATGTTGGTGTTTTACATAGAAACCAAAGAAGAAACCACCCCAACCTTTGTTTGTTTCCAAGGGGCCAAGTAAAGGCATCCCAAAGGCAAGCCCGGCACAACAACAAGTAGACCAGTTGTTTGGTGTGACCGGTTCTGCCTGTTTTACAGATTTCGAGCTCACCGATCGGGGGCAAAACAAGCTCGCCGTGATGGTCCTGTCCTTCGGGATTCCTTCTTGTCGCTCCCAGACATGGCGGCTGAAGGCCGCTCACACTCCTTGGGGTTTGTGACATTTGCTAGGTCGCCCTTTTACCGTTTCTTTTTTTGGGGGAGGGTTCCCCTACTAAAATAGACCAAATACAGAATGGTACCCTTATTCTACCGCCTCTACTGGAGGACCTAGTTTGTTTAATTGCTTCGGTTACTCAACTTTGAGACTTTGGTTTATTTGTTGTGTTCAGGTAGTTCTGCTTTGCAAACGCAGCCGACCCGCCCAAATCCGCTAAGTTGCTCGTCAAAAAACCATGGGCAAAAAGAAAACAAGTCCTGCAGCTCAGGTGAAGGACGATCTAGGCCGGGCGGGCGCGGGGGTGGTGCAAATGAGCAGGGTGTCTTGGGTTGGCACGCCCGCTGATGGCTGGCGTTTAAGAACCGAAAGGAAACCATCCGTTTAGGGGTGCGCCATCCCAGGAAGCGCAGATATTGACTGTTTTGGTTTGCATGTCAAAGGCGCTCTATTGTTTAGCCGCTGTCACCACAGCGCAAACTTGTTCCGCCTGGAAGAATAAGCAAGCTCCAGCACGACCAGCTGGAAGTTGCTTCGGATTTCCCACCCAGCCCATCAATCCAGCTCAAGCAACTTGTCTATCATTTGTCCCGTGATTTGCAGCCTTCATTTTTTTGCCAGCCACCGATAGTGAATGGAAGTTGTGGTTCCTCGCTTCTGTTCTTTGCCGGCCGCAGGAAGTGTGGCCACTGAGCGCAAGACGCTGGAGGCCTGCTGGTGCTCGGGGCATGTGGCGCCTGGCTGGTGGCTGGTAGGTAGCCAAGAAGATGCGGGTATCCAATTTGGCCTTTCTAGCGGGACATCACAATTTGTGGAATTCAATTCAGGGTCACCTATGCCCACCCCGTGAAGGCGTCGCCGCTTGCGGAGTTTGAGGCGTTCATTCTTTTTGGAGACGTATATCCTTGGTGAGGAACTCGGACATGTTGTTTGGTGATTTGGTTTTGATAGGCGTTGATGTGGGATATTCAACAGTGTTCACTGGTGTTTCTACCTCATTGTTTTTGTGGTCGGCAGGCAATGCACAGTAAACTTCAGCATTTTCTTGTGCCACCGTGACATGCGCGTGGTGCGTTGTCTTGGTGTGTTTGCAACCATGACCCAAGCACCAGCAAAACGTGACGGATGCCTCCTGCAGCTTTTTGTTTCAAGCGGATCTTTCAAGTTGCATGCGGGATTTTTTGGCTGGGAACCCCCTTTGGGTTCGTTTCGAGAAAACTAGGCAGCCATCAACCTTTGAGCATTGCCTAGTTTCGAGTCAAGTTGTGTGTGTGCGTGTTTCACGAGAAGACAATTCAACACAAGCAATGTGCCCTTGCGCCCTCGCTCTTGCACCGCGAGTGCCTTTCGAATTCAGGTTTGTTGGATGCACAAGTTGCAAGTAGGGCGGAGTCGGACCAGGCACGGGGGCACTCCGAACGGCTCGTTTGACGATTCCTTGTTCTGGGAATCTCCGAACGGGATTTTTGCGTGAGTGGTGTGGTGTGTGTTTTGCGTTGTTTGAGTCCTCGACCGTTCTATTTGGAATCCAACACAGGGATTATGTTTCCAGAGACCAAACAATTCTATGAAACTTAAGCTCCTCTGATGTTTCCCAGACGCATGTTTGGTCGATCGAAAGCATGACATGTTGGGACCACGTTTGTGACGATGGATTGGGTCGATCAGTCGCTTTTTGGAGGCGGGAGATGCGGAGTTCTCTCAGGACAAGGAAGGAGAGAGGACAGGGAAGGCCTGGTGGGCGCGTCCGGGGTGGGAGGTGGTTCCTTTTATTTCCCCCCCCTCCCATACGACCACACACACATTCTTTCCAAGTGGGAAGCCTCCCGACAACAAAAATAGCTGGTCTCCTTTTGGTTGTGTTTGAAGCCAGCCAAAGGGTCTCTGATGGGAGAATGAATTTCGGTGGTGAAGTCTTGGTTGGATCTTCACACACAGTCCCTTGTTTCCCATCCGCTTCGCTGTATGTTCTAAGAAAGCCTGGGTCATGGTTGTTTGTCGGTATGCAGATCACTCAGCGTGCGGCAAAGGGTTGCCTCAATGCCGGAATACATCTGCTTATTCGATCGCCAGCATGGTGAGCTCACCTGGGGATAAACCGAACCATGATGTAGGTCCCTTACCTGGTCCATATTTCAGGTTTAGAATTGTTTTAGAATGACGGAAAGCGACCTTTAGGTCGATAGAGGTTGGCGTTGAATTAGAAAGGGGGTTGGGGGGGGGGGCATGA